GTGCATGAGATTCTTTCATCCTAATTGCAGGACTCTGCACTTATCTCTGTTGAACCTCATCAGATTTCTTTTGGCCCAATCCTCCAATTTGTCTAGGTCACTCTGGACCCTATCCCTACCCTCCAGCGTATCTACCTCTCCTCCCAGCTTAGTGTCATCCACGAACTTGCTGAGGGTGCAATCCATCCAATCATCCAGATCATTAATGATGAATATATGTGATTAGAAGAGCCTTGTGGTATCAGGTATATTTGTCAATATAATATGATAGTGCCAAGCTATCTTTTAAACCACATTAACAAAATGAAAGTTCAAGGAGGGAGGGAGAAGTAGCTGTAGACTAGTTGACGGAACATGGCTGGGACTCAAGGAAACTCAAGGTTCCGTCTTCTAATCTGCCATGTGGTCTTGGGAAAGATATTGCCATATTTTTATTTCTTCAGAAATAGGGAAAACAATGTATACCCACCTGGTAAAGCACTTTGAGATCTATGAATCAAGGCACAAATTTATTACTTACAAAGGCCTTGATCCCAGTGAAGTCTTTAGCAAATTTCCAATTGACTTCAGTAATTCAGGATCAGACCCTAACACAGCAATATTGCAAATTTAAATGCATGCTATCACTAAATGTAGTCTAAGAATAAAATACTCCTCCTATAGGTGCTTGCATCACTCGACTCATTAGGTCATCCAAAAATGCATTTGAGCACATGCTACAATGGGGTTGCATCAGTAGCCTCATCAGCGTTCAGGAACAGTGCCATACAGTAGCATGAAGGCGAACAAGCCCACATAAAAGTGAGAAAGTACAGAAGAAAGGAGAGCAATAAGGAAATGAAATATGCTCCTTAACTGTGCTGTGGACTAGCTCTCAGTCTCTCTTGGATTCTCCTCCCGAGTAACCCACCTGATGTCAAACAACTGGCATATGGAATGTTTTACAGATGGATCAGCATCAGTGACTCACACTAGCTGTATATGATTATCTGTCTCACAGATGTTTTAGTTTGTGTTTGCTTGCTAGCCAGCCAGCAGCCAGACTCTCTTTAATTTTATTTTGCTGCAGGATCACCAACAGATGTTTAACAAAAAGACAGAGAATAGTCTACTATTGTGAATACATGTAGTTAGCTCCACTGCCTTCTTGGGCAGCATTAGCCCCTGAGAAATAACTGGAAGAGATTTACTGGTATGATCTAAGAAATTTTCCAGATTCTTCTTTATAAGGAGTCAGTTGGCGTTAGTTACGCTAGCAGGGATTCCTCTGCTTATAACGATGCCACCTGCAGCATTGAAGATGCATTTGAAGTGATTGATGAATACTAGAACATAACAGAGATAATTTTTAAGTGGGCTGCTGCGGCCCTCAGTACCAGTACCCAAAAGGGTTCTCTCTCATGTCTGAAGACTTTCATCATGGACATATTTTTCTTTAATAGATGTACTATTAGACATAAGCGCTGATTCTGCAAATGCAGCTGCACAAGTGGGTGCATGCATCTGCTTGTAGGCTCAGCACCTTCAATTGCCTGGGTAATCTTGCCCTACTGTGGGGGAATGAACAGTTATCCCTATAACACACACAACTTGTTCAGGATCAACAATGGTAAAGTAACTTTTTTTAATTATTATTTTTTTGCTGCTGCAGGCCTTGGTTAGTGCTAATGATTAGTGCCCAGGAGGTGTAGCTCTTTGTTTCAATTAATCTCCTCAGTGCTTCCTAATGTTTATGCGAAACAATCTGACTGATGTGTTGTAGATATGGGATCTAGGAATAGGATAGAAGATGATTTTATGGCCTCCAGAACTTTGCTCATAAATCCTATGTCTACATGGATGAAAGTGGGTGTTAATTCTGCCCTTGCCTCAATCAGTGAGGATCATAAAGCCTTCTCTTTCACACCGGCCCATGATTCTGGAGGTGGACGACAGCCTAAAAGGGATGTTTTGCGTTTATAAAAAAACACTACTCCTAAATTTTAGGGACCTGCACATTATTTATTAAATTTTTAAACATTATACAAAATGCTATTGGATAAATATCTCAAACTACCATAAATCTCCTCTTCCCAATCCACTCAGACCACATTAAGCCTCCCCTATGAGGAAAAAAAAACAACCTTTAGAAAATAAATATCACATCTGGGCTCTGCTGCACCAAAAGGAGAATAAGTTCCAGAATAGAGGGACTCTTCACTGAAAATTTTCTGCCAACCTCTATTCAAGCCAGTGCAGATCTGAAAATATTCTACATTTTTCCCCAAAGACATGACTCTGCTACCACAGAAGAATTCTCTATCCATAAATCTTGGGCTTGATTCTGTAAATTCTTATTCACTTCACATCAATATGCTCGCATGAATAATGACTATTTCTGTGATTAGGCATTTGCAGGTTCAGGCCCAGTTGCATCTTTTCCAGCAAGTTAGAGGTGCAGTTACTGGACCACATTCCAGAAGCTCACACAAAAAAGTGCAAAACACACCTTCCTGCATCAGCAAGTCCTCTTACACTGCAGCAGACATTTAAGCGAGCAGATGGCTGGCAGTGTTTTCACTGATACCTGTGCTCTGTGAGGATTTGCTATAATTTCAACAGGGAGTTCCATGTGAGCTGCACAGACAGGAAGGCCCGGATCCACAAAGACACTTAGGCATTGTGACGGTGAGCATTGCAAGAGCTAGCTTTCCAGAATCTGGAAAATTGCAGCAACAACAAAGCAATCCGTAAAGCTTGAGTTAAGTGCTTAGGCTCCCTATACAACGAATGGGGAGAGAGAGGTGCCTAAGAATGCTCTCCACAAAAGCCAGCATGCTAAGCAAGGAGCCACCTAAACTAGCCAATGGGACCCTCTCATGGAGATAGATACCTAAGTCTGAGCTGCTGGGAGGCACCTATCTCCGCTTGTGATCCACAGCCAGGAACGCCCCCTTTTGGAGCCAGGTGGCTTAGGCGCCTAAGTTATTTCTTGTGAGAAAGAGTTAGGGGCCAGCTTCGCGCCACACAAAATGGCTGGAGGAGGTGATGGGGCTGGTGGTTCTGGTGTCCATCTTAAGCATTTTAGCCCAGTGGTTAGAACACTCGCCTGGGATGTGGAAGGCCCAGGTTCAATTTTCATTTCTCTACAAGAGGGAGAGAAAGGGTTTGAACAGGAGTCTCCCTGTTCAGGGGAGTGCCCTAACCACTGAACTATGAGATAGTCTGATGGTGGGGCCCCTTCAATCTCTCCTGGGGATAATTAATTAGAGTGATTGGGCCAGAGAGACTCTGTAGCTTGGAAATGGGGAGACCAGAGGTCCAGTCCCCCTGCTCCAATGACCCCTTATTTGTACACAGTGGAACAGCTTCAATACGAGGGAGGCTCCACATCAGAATATTCCATAGCTTAGTGGTTGGAGTATTCACCTGAAAGGTGGGAGATCCCTATTCAAATTATTTTCCCCAGCAGGCAGAGGGAAGAACTAAACCTGGGCTGCCCACATCCCAGGTGAGTGCTCTAACCACTGGATTGAAAGTTACTGAATGGGCATCCCCCACTTCCCACCCACCAGTTTTGAATGGGACCCTTTCCAGTAGGCGGTCTCTGAGCACACCTACTGGATTGGGCCCAATAGGGGGCAGAACATCAATCTTCCCCCACTTTGTGGATCACACTGATGCTTAGGCAGGAGATAGGCAGATGCCTAGAGTGGGGTAGCAATGTGCATACTCCGAGGCAGAAACAGAGACACCAAGGGAACTCTTACAGTGAACATTTAGGGTTAGACAGCCTTTTGAGGATCACAAGAGTTCCTAAAACTGGGACTTAGGCATCTAAGCCTGGGGTTTGGGTGCCTAAATACCTTTGTGGATCTGGGCCAAAGTTTATATCCTGACCAGTGCTATTCACTGTTTGAAATTCATTGATTCTCTGTGTCCTGGTAGACATCACCTTGCACCACCTCCCCTTCCCTTCTAATAGACACTTCACTTTGGGGTTCTGTACCAGGATTCCACAAGATTTAGCCTGTGTCACATTTTGCAAATTGCAAATTACTTTTTGCCACTACATAAAAATTTCTTTTCATTATTAGGGCAGCTTCCATGTGGCTACTTATTTGAGTTCTAGTAAATCATGATCTCTTTTCTTTCTATCATCAGATAACAGGTTTCAATACTGATAATATTTTAACAACAAGATCTGCTAAAAGCTAACTGCCACTTAAAATAAGGGCCCTAGAGCCTTCACTGGTGTAAATTGGCATAGCTCCATCAATGACAGGAAAGAGGGAAACCCAGCAAAGCACAGAATCTAACAAAAGCAGAAGTTTCTGTGCTATGCAGAAGATAAATGGGGAAATGTTTACCACAAAATTTAGTTCCACAGGTGCAGACTAAATTAGATAGGAAAAATATATTAACCTTTAAGCTGCTGAAATTTTGAATATCCCTGTTTTTCAGCCTTCCAGTATTTACAAGCTGTATATGCAAAATGAGTGGGGAGATTTGGAAAAATGCTTTTAATTACTTAATTCTCCCCTCTTTATATTTTTGTGTATCGTTAATTATGTTAAGCTTGTTAGAAGTTCCACGCAAACTATATTATGTAAAATGTACTGACCTTCAAGTCATACATTTGAATTAAAAACATTTATGTTTGACTGCTAAGGTATTTTAAAGGAGAATATCATTTTAAAAAAAATTCTAGATGTAAGTATTTATAAACATCTGTTTACTATGTTGCTATATTATGTATTATTATTAAATTTAATATTACTATAAAATGCTATATTTGTACAATCATCTAAATTGAAAGAAGGTAGGATCTTGTTAGTGAGGAGCTTACATTCTTCGTTCCGATAATGATGCAACTTTGCAGCAGAAGTTTAACTAGTTTTTCCAGGAAAGTTTTGACTCACTTGTCAATACAAATATAGTAATCCTTAGCATGTGGCATTTGTGGAGAAATATTGGCAGTAACTTTAATTTGTCTGTCTGTGTCTCTCTCTCTTTTTCAGATGCTCTCTAAATCCATCGAACAGCTAAAGCAGCCTGGCAATCATCTAGAAGAAGCTGAAGAAGAGCTTCATGGAGATCATGCTATGCAGGAAGAAAGAGCTCCCTCTAGTGGTAACAGCATTAGGGATGACAGCTGCAGCATTTGTGTGGATGACAGAATAGGACAGCATGTGGGGGCTGTGAAAGTGAAAGAGGAGCCACTGGACACTGATGACGATAATCAAACCCAGCAAATGGAATCTGGGGAGCAGGCTGCTTTTATGCAACAGGTAATAGGCAAAGATTTAGCTCCAGGATTTGTAATTAAAGTTATTATTTGAACATCAAATGCATTTTTAGGGCTTGAATAAGAGATTGACTGTCTTGATTCATGGATCTAGCTAATTTCATTTTAGTGTTCAGAGAATCTAACAAAGGTTGGTGCTTTTGCGTGCACTCTTAAAACATAGTGACGCTCCTTTTAAAGGCCACTAACTGAGAAAATACCTGCTGCACTCAATTATTCTACATAAGTCAGTGCATAATACATAGAACTTGTTTTCGCTCTAGACTCTATCACATGAGTTAGTTCCAGGGAAATAGAACTCACCGTTGTTTAACTAATTTGTTGAGATCAGTAGTTGTGGAGTCCATTTCCAGAACTGATCAATGAAACATTCTTTCTCTGTTTCTGAATTCTTCTGATGTCTTGACTTTTTCCTTTCACCTATATGTATATAATGTATCATACTGTAGTCTTGAACACTGTTAAGAGTAGGTATGTTTTCTCCATTAGGCAGATACTGGTTGCAATACCAGGGGTCCTAGGTTTGTGTATAGAGTATGATTATGGAGATATTGGGAGTGCAAAGTGGATGTAAACATACAAGGCAAGGCACTATTTAAAATTTTTTTCCCTTTTGCACTTCTTAGTGCATTTTTCCCTATTTGATTATGTTGTCTACAAAGGCATGATCAAATGAAGCAGATTCAAATATCGGCAAGGAATGATATGCAACATTGTGTTCCAATCAGATATTAGGGTATATGTGTAATTGTAGAAAAACAAAACAGAACTATCATCTGATAGTCAATATTTTTTAATAAAGACTAATGATATAATATTGTATAGCCTTTACCATTAGGGTCTCACTGAAATGCTAAATTAATGACAGTGTGTGTAAGACACCAATGTGGCAAAAGGTCATTTAAATTGGTAAAAAGTATTTTAAAAATTGCTAAATGATAAATGCACTTATACAGACTGTACTTTCAGAACGCTGGTGTCCTTTTTTCCCTATAAAATCAGAACAACTCTGAATGCAATAGAAGGCACTGTTTATTTAAGTCAGTACTTTGTCAGGTCCCTGCTGTTCTCCTGCAGAAAAGTGATTCTGTGGGGGTGAACAGGAAATGCCTTATGGAAACAGGAAGTCCAAGTGATTCATGTACTGAGGAATGTAAGAGAGTGGGGGGGAGGAATGGGGGGATGGATAGTGTTTTACTCTGTTTTTAAAGGGCACTCTATGAATTGATTTATTGTCAAAGAAAATAACAAAGCGAGTAGGGAAATTGTTAAGGAAGCTTTCCAGTGAAACATTTCCTTCATATTCCCTTTTGATATGTTTACCTTGTTTTATAGGTTTACTTTTGTTAAGCTAGTTAAAGATTCATTGTATTAAGATCTCTTTAATATGGATAATCCAAAACTGACCTGGAGTCCTGTCAGGTTTTTTTCTATTAAAAATATTTATATTTCTAAAGCTAAGGTATTTTAAGGTGCAGTATCCTGTTTCAAAAGAGATAGCTGTTTTGCCAAATGTAGAAATTGTTCTAATATATGTTATTAGTATGTGTTGTTTACAGTTTGCTCTAATATTATAAAAGTCCCTTATAAAATGTTGCAACTTCTAAAGATACATTATCCTTTTCCTTAAAAAGTCTCCAAACAAATTAAATGACTTAAATAGTTGCTGTAAAAGAAACGCCTCCTGAAACATTAACATCAGCTTTGATAGGAAAGACTTGCTAATTGACAATATATGTTTTTTGCTTAAATATATTCCCTCCCCCCCCACCTCCACACTTAAATACAAAGGGGGGAAATAACATAGACATTCAACATTATGAAGCATATAAAGATGGAAATATGTATTTTCCCATTCTGTATATATTTCATTTCCTACCAAGCCTAATTTCAGCCTCACCAAAAAGGGATAGTGAATCTTTTAAAATACATTTTATTTACAGAGGAACTTGCAAATGAGGAGACTTTTGTACAATATCATTTCAAAGACATGTAACAAACAAAAGATATTTTTATAGTGTCATTCAGGAGAGTTACCCCAGTAAAGCCAGTGGACTTTAATTCTATTCAAATTTGATAGCCCCTGAATTGAATCAAGAAACTACCTGGAACCAGTGAAAAGGAAAACTGGGTTAAATAACCATATTTCTAATTGATAAATGTCTCTTACATTTAAAATCTACTGTATTTATTATAATCTACACCTTTGGAGGTGATCTCTTGTTTTGTGTTGTAAATATATTCTGTTTGTATGTTCCCTTTCTTGCCTTCTGATATAAGTCTATTTCTTTCTCAAATAAAGTTTTTTTTTTTAAAAGGAGATCCCCTTTCATATATCTGGCTTTGTGTAAAGTTGATAAATTTTAGTTGGTGCTCTGTTTTTAGTATAACCAAATCTGCTGGCTATGCATTGTTGAAAAAAATCCATTAAAGCTTTTAGGAGCAAGATTTTTTATTACACTATTTTTACAATGATTACACAAAGTCTATTTTGGTCTGTTATATGATCCTACATCAGCCATTATAAACTGTAAAACAAATGGAAATAATATCTATGCATGCTCATTTTCCCATCATGGCATTTGTCTTGGACACGTGATCATCAATGGTAACATACAGAACAAATAAAATGCAGACAAACCCAAATTTTCTGACCCCTGATTAGCCAATGTGTGAGCTATTTGAAAATCATTTCCATTCCTATTTCCAAAATTCATATATAACCTAAAATCTGTTGATCTGAAACTGACAAAAGTTTTGGATGTCTCTTGAAACCTTGGTTAAACAAGGTTTACCTATTAATACAAATCTGGAGAGAGAACTTCAGACTAATTAGAGGGTGGTTTTCAACACGGATTCGGAAAAGCACTGTAAGCACATGTTTAAAGTTAAGCATATGCTTAAGTGCTTTGCTGAATGGCGGGTGATGCTTTCCTGAGTTGGACCCTAACTTTGCTTTACCTTTTACAAAGATAAATATCATTCCAATATACATAACTATTTTCATTGTTAGTAGTCTCTGAAATTTTGCTACAAAAAGGTGTGTGAAGGGCAAATAAAGGATCCAGAAAATCAGATATTGAAAAGGTAGCCTGGCAGAATGATTATCCATCTTTTCTAACTCTGCAATGGTTAAGTTCTTAACTCTTTCACTTCCAGTGGTTCTTGCACTAAGATAAATGGTTTCAGGTAAAATAAATAGATATGAATAAACAAACATTTCCATAAATAGAGTTTTTCATTACAGTTAATTGTATGAGCATTACTTTTCCCTGATATGAGTGATACTCAAAATACTTACTAGCTAAAAAGAATAATGCTAAAAGGCTTAATTTTGCAAAAGTTAAACAGGTTAATTAGCATTAACCATACTGCTGTAACAACTTACCATATCGATCACATATATATAAATTGAAGTCTTTAAATAGTTAATACTGCTGACAATTTTTTTTGAAATGAGGCCTGTTGTTTTAATAAACATGTCAGAATAGCAGTTTAAAACATTTTCCATCTATAATCCAAGATCTTATTTTACAGCATTCATTATCTGAGTGTAGCTAAAAGATTTTTGTTAGCCATGTTTCCAAGCAAGTTGCAATGAAACAAAAGTCAAATAAATACCGTAATTTTTTCAAGAGGTAAGATGTCTCTTCTTTAGAACAATAGGCACCTATGCAGTCCTGTTGTCAAAAATAAAGCCTGTATATGTAGCAATTTGTGACCAATCACTTTTATATGAAGCAATTTTACTAATTTAACTTATGTACTCTGAGAAAACAAACTCTATTAAGCCATACACTGCTAAAGTTTTTGTCCCTTTAATATCTATTCATCGTTTGGTATTAACAAAATAGTATTAAAAGTTGAATCTCTGAGCAGAGCTGAAGTAATCTGGGCAGTGCTGACACATATCTCTACCATCAAAAATTCATTCATGCACCTTCATCATTACCATATCATCTTCAGGATCGCTAAGATTTACTCTGTGTATCGATCCTGAGCAATCCAGCTGTACCCTGTTTTTATTTCACTGGCATTCTGAGGTAAAAAAAAATTATGGACATTAGTCCCAAAACGCCAGGCTATGAACTCTCCACAATTTGCAGCCAGAATTAGTTAGAAAATTAACTTTGCTGTATTATGTTCTGTCCGAGTAGCAGCCTGTCCTACTTATCCATTTAAAGGATGTTGTTTGCTTTTCATTTATTTGTTTTTCTGATTTCCTTATGCAATTCCCATCATCAGTATGACAAAGCTTTTTCAGTACCTCATTTGCTTGCTGGAGGATCATAGTTTTGAGCATTATACTGTACACTGAAGTCCTCCTCAGGCAAAAGAGAAGTTCACCATGGATAAAATTATCCTCTCATTTATTCTGGTACAATCCCATTGATTGTAATAGGCTTGCATCAGTGTATTTGATGGAACTTGTCCCTTGTGCCTTTCATCTTCAGTATAATTCAGCCCAACTTGATTTTTATTTTGTTTTTTATTCTAACTCCGTCAGATCTATATGCATTGGCTATGCATTTAGATCTGACAGAGTATACTGGTCTGCATTTTCCCCAATAGCTCTACAGTGTTCCTACCTGTGCCACTCTATCTTTATGCCATATGTTTATAGAGCATATATTTATTTTTAGCCCTATTTTCTGGCATTTATGGTATACTTCAATTCTTAAGAGCTGCATCTGTTTCTGTTCTATATCACAAAATTGAATGGTTCTTATATTTCTAAAAACACAATACAGTGCAAGGGCCAGGTTATTATCTATGACACAGTAGTGCCCAGAGGCCCAGTCAAGCTCAGAACCCCATTGTGCGGGTGCTGTGCAAGTTAATGAGATGCCCTACTTAAGAGGGATGGGAAGAGTGTGGAACCAAGCACCACCTATAATGGCAAACTCTAGCCATAAATCAGAGCACGTAGATGTGCCTGTCACAATGACGTGTGCAGACAGTTAACAATGCTAAGATTTTAAA